TTGACTTACTCTAACTTGGTCAGTTTTGAAAAAAAAAAAAAACTTTTTATACAATAAATGTTTAAAAAAAAATACTCTACCCGAACCTGCAGAAAAAAACTGGGGTTGCCATTAAAAAAAAAGTAAGTTGTATTGCGCATGCGCATACCGAGTGAGCTAAAAATTTGAAATTTATCCAAAAATATGTACTTATGTACTCCCTATCACCTCCCGAAAACCCCGTTTCAATACAAGGTTATGCACCTGAGATATTTAGTGTTACCATAAATCGTGATCACACTGTATAATAATAATAATTTATAATATAAAAGTATAACAGTAATTTACAAGTCATTTATTGAATCCTTGTTTTTTAGTTTTGTATTTTATATGATATTCTTTAGCCATGATTTTAATTTTGTTATTATCTGTTCGGCTATCAGCTCCAGAGAGCACACGATTAATATTTTTGCACCAAGTAAATAAAAAAAAAGCAATAAGTTTTTGTATTAACATTTGTTTTAAATTATGACTTTTACATGAAAAACTAAAGTCAACATTTGCTTCAATTAATAAATTTAATTTCATAAAAATCTGAGGTTTATTACATATACTGTTGATAACTTCAGTAAAAATATTTAAAATGTGTTCAATAATATTATTAAAATTTTTGCTTGGTGATTTTAATCTGTTATCAGAATAGTTTCTAACACTAATTAGTTCATTAAAATTATGAATATCTACACAATCATTTTTACATACATTACAATTATTAGTAGATTTAATTAATGTTCGAATTATATAGCCAGCTACATAGCCAATTGTCATTTCACCTACTGTAGATTTGTTGGGTTTAACAAATTCTACATTAAATGAATTCAAACCTAAATTTAATGAAACATCATTACTAATTATTTCATTTTGTCCAGATAAGAATTGTTTTAAATTATCTAAAGCTCCTATACTATCATCTACCTCACAATTCCCCAATGACTTTAATGAAGAGAAATTATTTAAAAGTAATGTTTTAAATGATGTAGAAAAATGATAACAATTGGGCATATTATTTCTGGATCCGTGGCTCCTAATAGATCCAAAGAAACATTCCAAAGAATCCTGATTAATATTCCTTAGTATTAGAAACTTAAAACCTTCGGATTTTAATTTTAACCACAGGTATTTAAAAGATTCTAATGTTTTTATATAATTTTTTATACATATTGGTTGTCTTACAGCTGAGCCATCTACTTTACTCACAAAAACCATTGTTTTGAAAACCTTAATTGCTTCATTCCAAAATAGAATATGAGAAGATCCTTTTTTAACTGCACATCTTAGGGGTTTGCCATCTAATGCATTAATTGTGGATCCATTCGTAGAATCAAACACCTTATCCATAAAAAGACACAAACTAGATGTTCCCATTGAGTTGGATAGTGAACTACCAGAATCTAAATTTAAAAAAATATATACTCGTATTAAATTAAATTTAAAAAAAATACAAAATACATTTCTCTATATAATATACTATTTAGTATTTACCATAATTAGCCATAAGATTCATTGTTGAAGCTACTCGATGGCTGAAAACTTGTGCCGCAACTGATACACGCATTTTTTTTATTTTAGATGGTATTATATGTGATTCTGTTAATTTTGGCAAAGTACGTAACTCATAAATTTCATTTTGTTTATCTAATCTATACAAAGTTTCAATATGGCTCCATGATGCTGTTTGATTCTTTCCATTATAATTAAAATTCAAATTTTTAGTCAATAAATTATTTCTCATACATTTCAACAAATGTGGGGGATCATATAAAGGTACAATTTCTTCATCATTAATTAAAAATCCCATGTATCTATCTTCAATATTTTGAGTTTTACACCTGTGAATTCTTTCTTTTAAAAGGATATTAATTGCAGCTTGATTTGTACATCCTTGGTCACAAACGGTAGCTTTTATTTTTAATCCTGTGGTTTGTACTGCAGAAATTACTTCTTTAATATAACATACAAGATCTTCAGTTTTTGTAGTACCGGAACAAAAGTAGTATGCAATTGGTTGTTTAAATTTTTTTCGTAGACCTCTTAACATAAACACAAGTACATGGTTTGCAAATTTTAGATTTTTTTCTTCAAAACCAAAAATAGAGTCACTTTTTTTATCATACGTTAAGGTTGCATCTAATGCCATTTCATCAAAGAGCAACGTGCAGTACCTATCCAAAGTATGTAATTTTTGTGCTTGATGTTTTAAATTATTTATAATATGGTTATTTATGCCAGTATTGAATGGGACTTTCTGTAAAAGATTATAAAGTGTTTTTTTTGAAGGCAAAGCAAATACTGTCGATAAAAATTTGTACCCTTTAGGAGAATTTTTGAACATTGAAAGGGCCATAATTTTGTCATCTAGATTATATCGTCTACCTTGCGGTTTCTTTTTTTGAGTTTTCATCTGACTCATAATGAAATTAAAAGTGCTTGTATTAACTTTATCTATTATTTGAGATGTAAAAGTACTATTTGCAAATCGATTCACTAAATTTAGTTGACATTTAGCACTTTTATTTTGTTTTTGTAAACGCTCGGCTTTTCGTTTCAACTTCATGGCTTCTTTATATAATTTTTTACAGTTTGGGGTAAGTTTTCCTTTTCTGTTTAATTTTAATGGCTTTAATAACATGTTTTGATTAGATTCATTTTCTAGAGGCAGGATTCCATCTAAATCAGAGTCAACTGTAAATTATTAACAAAAATAAATTATTAAAAAATGTAAATTGAATTAAATAAAGTTTCTATGTTCCTTACACTGGGTAGAAACACAAATTGTTCCAGATGTACATTGATGTTTACTACTAGATGGTGTATGAAGTGGAGTTGAATGAGAAACACACATACCAACTTCTTGTTCGATATCTTGTAGCATAATATCAACTGTGAACAACAATAAATAATTTATTACTTAGTATAAATACTAAAAAAAACCATACCAAAGGATATAGGTAGGTACCTACCTAATGTAATAATGTAAAATAAAAATGTTTGAGCAATTTCTTTTAAAAATGCCTGTTTCTAGTTCCCTCTTTGAAATGTTTAAGTGTTAAGTGAGAATATTATCATAAAAGTGACAAAGAAATTACATAATTTCATAAATTTCATAATTTAGGTTTCTATATAATAATGTTTCCTAAATTGCACCTTGTCAATGATATTAATACCATATAGAAAAGTCAATTGAATAGAAATCCTGCATTTTACAAAAAAAACAACCTACATGTACCTAACCTTTTTTGTTTCATAATTTATATACAATATAATGTTTGTAGGTCAGGTCACATTCTAAACCAATACTTTAATTTAATTATGTAATATTTACTTACCATTATCATGATTTGGTGGGCTTATGCTTGACCAGTTTAATGATGACTCTCCGATTGAAGCTGCAATGTATTAAATACAACATTTTTAAATAGTACATTTATATAAATAATAACTTAACCATAATACATTATTGAGTAATAAAATCCACAACACAATGTATACAATATATATTATAGTTTAAGAAAACAGTAAACAACAGATTCAGAATGTTATAAGAATTTTTTAATAATAATCAGAATAATTAATATTATATAATTTAAATTTAAATCAGTCTTCCTTGACCTAATTTATAACATAGTTATTTAATTGACTTACAATTAATATTAAAGAAACATTAATTATATTTTAACAAAAAATGTTAATAAAATAAAATAAAATATAATAAAAATAGGTAGGTATACAAAAACTTACGTGGAAGGTTTAATGTAGGCAATGAATGCAGCTTTAATTTTTGATTAGTGCCAGGTGAATAACAGCATTCTTCGAAATGGTTTTTGCATATTTGGTAAGTTCTTCTAATAGTTTCATGCGACATATTTTTAAAGACTGGATTTGCAGTTCTTTTGACCCATATTTTGAGATCATTATAATCTTTTGGAAATATATACTTTCTTTTTGCTGAATCTTTACATCCTACAACCCAACACTTATTCGATACCATGTTTAAATTCAAATGTTCAAAATGTTATATTACGTTTTTAAAAAAGCACAAGACACAATATCACAACTCACAACTTCACAAGACGTCAAGTAATGCGCAAATTGCAAAACACAAAACTAAATTAAAATTCTTACTCGAAAAAAAAAATTAACGAAAAATAATTTATGGAATATGGAATCTGGGGAATCCCCGAAATTCATGGAATAACAATATTGTATATCAGTTGGAAAATCTTTTATCTATGGAATAAAATATTAAAGCGACTACAGCGCGTTTGGTGTCATTCTCAATAACTATTCTTAAGGATTTATTATCATAGGTATAAGTGCGCAGGCCCTGCAGTTAGTATTCTTGTCTATGGTTATGCACTATGCAGTATGCACTGCTGCAAGTTGCAACACACTAATATTGTCACATGAATATTTAATATTAATACACCATTACACAAGATATTCGGATCAAATACTGAACTTGAGACCTACACGGCTACACACCATATAGCTATATAGTATATATACCTACATGTTTATTATAATTTTAAGTTTTAAAAGTTAATAATAATTACACGACTGTTATACGTAATCACGTGCCTAAGTTAATAGTTTGGAGAGCTGCATAACAAAACGTGTAAGTACATAATATTGTATACTATAATAATGATCTTATATTAATAGTTAATCCTAGTGGTTATTTTCACGTCCGACGTGAAAGTATTTGTTTTCACGTCCTGCCCTGTGATTGGTCGAATTATTGATAAGAAAAATATTGATAAAGTAGTGAAAAACCCGCGTAATTTATTTATAATATGGTCTTCACAAATCACAATTTATCTATATATACTTATAATACAATAATAATAGTTAATTTTAATAAGTCACGTCGTACAATAATAATAATTCAAGTTATAATAGTTAATTGTAATAAGTCACATCGTTAGTGTAATAATATATAATTAATCCTTAGGTTAATTAGCCTAAGTCGTATTTTTTAAATTTGTGTTACTTTGTGTTACTTTGCAAAACCATAGTTTGGATTTAAAATTAGCATTTACTCTAACACAAATAAAGTGTGACCACTCTAAACATCTGTTACAACAAATGGATTTAGTTGCAGCATCTTTAGCACATATGGGACAGATCCAAGTAGGTGTCAATTTTTTCATTTTAATGACTTGCTGGATAGCAAGCCAACTTCCTTCAGTTAAATAACATTTTATTTCCTCAATTGCTATTGACTTATCTATAACCGCAATTGATACCCTTTCAGGAACAACTTCAACATCCTCTTCATGTACAGGTTTGTTTTCATACACAGCAGATTTAGCAATACCATCATCTACAAACCAACGTAACATTTCATAATGCCTGATATTAACTGGAAGTCCCTCAAAAGGAAGTAATTTTGATGTTAGTTTTCTCTTCTTTGGAACACCAATTACAGTTTTGTCTTTACCTAAATTTTACATAGTTAAATAATGTACCTACATTCTATAGAAGATAATATTACCCTTTGGTCGACCTCTTTTAGGTACTCTAGGTGGTAGATGTGGCAAATTGTCTTCTAGATTATCTGTTTGTATAACATTGTCTTCCTCGATTTCTTCTATTTCCATATTTGCATCTATTTGTATAGCATTGTCTTCCTCGATTTCTTCTATTTCCAAAGTTACATCTATATTTTCTCTATTTTCCTTAAGTAATGAATCTAAATATAATAATTTATAAACATAAAATATAAATGTATGTTTAAATAATTATAAATAAAACTAGTACAAACCAATTTCAGTGGTTGTTATGTTTTTGTCTTGTTCCCATGCATTGGCAATATATTTTAATATCATTAAACGCTGTTCAAATTGTTTCCCTGTTGCTTCTGAAGCTAGAGAAGCCAATCGTTTGGCTTCGACGTGAGCACTCCGATACTTTTCATGTGCATTCAGTATTTTTTTTTTTTTTCTACAGTCACTATATTAATATTCTGAATTTCATTTCCATCATTTATTTGGTTTCCTTTAATGTGTTTAGTATTATTTGTTGGAATAACTCTACACACGTTAGCATAATATTCCCTAGTCCATCTTTCTGCATAGAGTTCTGGATTATGTAGTGGAATATTATATGTCTGTCGCAATTTAAGAATGTGATGACACGGTAAACACATGCTTGTGACAAATGAACAATGTGTAATGTAACATTAGAATTTTGGTAATGTTTAACTAGAGTTTTTAATGCATCAGAGGCTGGTGAATTTTAAATTACTAAGTTGTGAATGTCCCTTAGTGTAACTATTTTATTTTGTGTTTTCATTAAATCATTCTGCAATATGTTTTTGTTAACTTTCATGTTGACCATTTTTGTTGCCATAATCTTAGCGTCGTTATCTAACCTTCTCTGTTTTGGATAATGATCATACATGGCCTAACAAATATATTTTGTATACATAAAAGTTGATAGTTAAAACTAAACTTTAAATTAATTATTTTTACCTTGGTACATATGTGATTGTGTTCACTGACAAAAGATTTAATGACCAATTTTTCACCCATTGCATCAGGCCTTATACGAATAACTACTGGGCAGTTCGAACGGTAAGAACTGAAAGAAAATGTATTTATATAATGTATCTATATAATTCTTATACACAAACCTTTGTTGTGGTCTAATTCCTTTTGATTGGGTTTTGTATTGTCCTCCATTAACACACACATAATCAATTTCAGCATATTCCAGCCTTGGATTTATATATCTTTTTAATCCTTTCTTTTTGGCCCCTTCAATTGTTCTTGAGTTTGATTTAGTAAAATTGCAATAATGTTTTGCCTCATAATTATTTAAAGAGTTTTCTAATTCAACTAGAGAAGAAAACTCACTGTCAATTTTAAATTCTTGTATTTCAGACTAAAATTCAAATTTTTCCTTATATATATAAGTATATTATGCACTTCTCTATAATTTTTGAAATTAATCATACTTACATTGTCACAAATATTCATATTTAAATTCATATTATATAATTTCACTAATCACTACACAATAGGTAACAAAAACACTTATAACACAATATATAAAATATGATTGTTTTCAGCAATTATTATTTTAATTGAATAACTGGAAAAAATTGGATTAAAATGTTTCAATGTTTGAAGATTAGTAGGTAACTACTAAACATGACAGCATTTTATCAAGATAGATAATAGGTACAATACAATTGATTGGTGTAAACTTTAAAATAGTTCTAAAATAATTCCTTTGGGAATTTTATAATAAATAACTGGTTAGTAATTCAATTTAAGTAATGATTCATTAATAATTCAAAATTACGCGGGTTTTTCAATACTTTATCAATATTTTTCTTATCAATAATTCGACCAATCACAGGGCAGGACGTGAAAACAAATACTTTCACGTCGGACGTGAAAATAACCACTGCCTATAGGTATTAACTATACCTATATAATAATATGGTTTTAAGTAAATATTGTACATGTGTACATACCTATAAAATGCCTATACCAACTATTACCTAGATGGGTGTTTTTGATAAAAATAATTAAATTAATTTGTTGACAGTGATAAAATACCTAATCATAAGTGTGACTCTTCGCTAGTCGCTCTACACTTATAAAAAATATATTACATATTATATTATGACAATGACTCACACCAGTCACACCTAACTAATTACTAAATAAATATATTCAGTAGGTACCTATCTAATATATTCTTTTTATTTAATTTATTTTGTTACAGTTTGTTTGATGGATAGAATGCTGTAATAATCATCAATATTAGAGAAGTAATGAATAATATTTTTAAACGCTATATTGATGCAATGAAGTTCCTTAATCCTTACTAAATGAAATTAACACTACCAGGGTAAGTAATTTAAATTAAATATTTATAATTGTTGTTTAGATTAATCACATTTTAATTTTGATTTGTTTGAATATGAGTTTGTTGGTCAAAAAACTTAAATACCGAAAATAATTGTGCAGCATCTGATAGTTGCTTTTGGTGAAGTGGATTGGATTAATGCTCACAATATTTATATTGGATACATAATAACAATACAAAATAGTATAGTAAGTTCTATTAACAATTTCTATTTTTGAGTAGAAGTTTTTTAGTATTTAGTATTTTAAAATTACTATACGACTATATTATATTTATGTTTAAGAGTTAAGCATTATAAATTAGCCATAACTACAATTTAACCTGTTACAGTGTGTAGTGTCCTAAGCTTGTACCTAATAATAACTAGATAAATACATTCAATATTATCTTCACAATTTGGAGGCAACAAAAGAAATTAATGTTCTATTAACAATTTCTATTTTTGAGTAGGTTTTTAGTATTTTTAGTATTAAAATTACTTTACTCTACCAAAATATATTGTAAAAATAAATAAATATCTATAAGTTTAGTTATTTAGATTCAAATCGTGCAAACTGCACTATGGATTGAAATTATAAGTATTAATCAGAATGTTGTTGTTATTGTTCATTAACTGTATGGTGTAGTCACCACTAATGGCCACGTTAAAATTTTTTTCTGTTGATTTACCTATTCAATTTATTTATTTAATTTATTCTATCTATTTATTCTATATATTCTTTAGATTAATACCTACATAACTGTGATAAATAATACAAGTAGATTAATGAAATTATTAAATGCAAACAAATATGACAGAAACTTTTATTAAAAAAACAAATTACGTAATCTGAATAAATATATAAATAAAATCAACAACTTTTTAACAATATTATAAAATTAATAATCAACACTTGGCAATATTTAAGAGATAGATCTATGGGTTTTAAAATAAAAATAGTTTCATCAATACCACCTATATAAATTCAGAAGTACACATTTTTAATTCTTAAAGATTTTGTTAAGCGATGAATGAAAAAGTGACAAACAAGATATTGAAAAATATTATAACAAAGTTCTCAACTGTTTTTTTAAATTCTTTTTATCACCCATTTAATACATTGGTGTTGATGAATACAACAATAACCATAGTATCAAAAAAACCAAAAAATTACACTATTTTCAAATAAAATATAAATGACTGACCATAGAAGGGGTAGTGGCTATAGGTGGCGACTCCACCATACAAAAATAATATTATACTTTGGTATAAGTTCTTAGAACTTCTGAAACAAACAATAATTATTAATTAGTATAAGTTATAAGTATTAGCTATAAGTGTGTGACTCTGTATGGTGAAGATTTTCGTAAATTTCAAAACAACACCTGGTTAAATGGAACTGTGATTGACGCACTGCTATTGACTTATGTGAATAATGAAATTGGTTATATTCCTGCGGAAATAAGCAATACAATTTGGTCAAGTACCAAAGTTAAAATAGCCAAATTTGATTAGACTAAATACTGTGTGTTATTTCTACCCATCAATCCTGAAGGTAATCATTGGACTTTATTTATTATGGACTTCATTTTGGGTTGTGTATTTTACTTGGATCCTCTGCGTCCAGAATCAGGTGACTTGTACTTACCTCGATTAAAAAAAATGTTGTTTTCAATGTGTGGTAATGAAAAAGCAAAATATTTGCTGCATAAAATGGTTCTTAAAAATATTGAGTATCCTTTACAGAATGATAGTAACAGTTGTGGAGTGTTTGTGTTGTATTATTGTAGTACATACAATCCAATGTTTACTCAGAGCTTTTCAAAGGAAGTTAATGTGAGTGATTGAAGAAATACATTGCAGCATCGATGTTTAATGTACTCTGATAATATCAGTGAAAGATGCCTTATGTGTGCACAAAATATAAAAGTAAGTTTTACTTGGATTAAGACAATTAAGTGCAATACATGTGAGCGAAGAGTTCATAATGTGTGTGTAGGTGGTGTATGCTACAAATTTATGACTAAAGAATTGAAAAATGAAAACTTCACTTGTATCTTATGCAATAAGTATATTAATTAAGTACCTATTTTATAATTACAAAATAATAAAGTACAAAATAAAAACTAATATGAAATAAAGATAAACAAACTAATACAATACCTATTGTAAGTAATGAATGGTTGGTTATATAAGTTGTGTGTAATTTATAAATTACACGTCGAGTAAAATGGAATCTATTACCTAACATAAAATTGGGTACCTATGTAACTAAGTCATATCTTTAAAAGTGGGAATTAACTAGGTAGGTACCTAGTAAAAATGTTTAAATTAAAAAAAAAGTTAATTGTTTAAAAATTAACTTAAATTCAGAATGTAACCAGTTAAATTTATTATTTATTAACTATTAACTTTTGACTTAGAACAATCTTGTGTTCACTTAACTTAGGTTATCTTGAGTTAATTATATTCATTAACATGCCCACAATTGCAAATCTTAGTGTTAACTCCACCATTGACGGTCCTCAGTCCGTATGAAAGAGGAGGAAGGGCGCTTTAAAGAAATTTTTCTTTTTTAATTGAAGTATTAAAAATTAATCATGCCTCTCTTGGTTTTAAAGTAATGTATTATTCTTTTAAATGGTTTTTAAATCTTAATATTATTTTCTATATTTTTTATTTTTTTTTTTATTTTGTAGGATATACCATACTGCCATTGTCCAACTGTGAAGAAGTAGG